GTGTTTAACTTTAAACGATCATAACTTTCTTAACACTCATCGGATTTAATCCAAATAAGCACCATTCGAATCAGCACACTTTTGCCAATGTGACAGCAGTCGAGAAATCCCATCAAAGAAAAAACTGGGTGGTCGAGAATCACGAAACGAAGGCTTTTTTGCCTGGTCCTGATTGATGAAGTATTTTTCAGCAAGGAAGTTCTGAAAATGTCTGAAAAGGTGACAGTCGGTTGGTGAAAGGTCTAGAGAATATGGTGGGTGAGGTAGAACTTCAACTCCCAATTCGTTCAATTTATGGATAGTGATTTGTGAAACGTGTGGGCGGGCGTTGTCATGCAAAAGAATCGGACCCTTTCTTTTGATAAGTGTTGGCTGCAGCTGACAATATTTTCGGTACATTTGGTCGGTTTGTTCACAGTAGGGTTCTGCTGTGATGGTTTGGCCTGGTGATGAAAAGTTATAGTGGATTACACAGCCGATGACCACCAAACCTGACCAGAATTTTTTTTTCGCGAGGGTTCGGCTTTGAAAATTACCTCGGTGGTTCCTCCAAATCCAACCACTGTCCGGAACGTCTCCTGTTATCATACATGATCCATTTTTCATCACAGGTGACAATCCGTTCAAAAACGGGTCAATTCTTTTGCGCAAAAGCAGTGAAGAAGGAACCTCGAGACGTGCCGATTCCTGCCGGTCACTCCGATTGTGGGGCACCCAATTGTCGAGTTTTTTCACCTTCCCAATGCGTTCCAGACCATCTGCAACAGTGGATTTGCCAAGGCCTAGCTCTTCTGCTATCTCTCGAACTGTTTGGGATGGGTCAACCTTCAAAATCCCCCTAAAATCCTCGTCAGATATTGCTTTAGGTCGACCGCTATGAGGCTCACCTTCAAGGCTGAAATCTCCAGAGCGAAATTTATTGAGCCATTGCCGCACAGTGCTTTCTTTAGCACTATTGGGCCCCCACACCTGGTTAATTTGTTGAGCTGTTTCGATTGCGGATTGCCCCAATTTATAGCCGAAGAAAATCGTCCGAAGTGCTCTTTTCACATGCTTGAAAAAATCTTGAAAAAAGAGGGTTTATCAAGCAATGGTGAAACGGCAATTATACCATCAGATAGCGCAAGAAATTCTCTACAGGATGTGCTACTGAGAAGCAAGGCAGAATGAGTTTTTAATCAGCAGTGAATGTACAAAGATTAGGTGCACAAAACGCTAAGAACTTTCCGGACAACCTAATAGTTTGTAACACTGCAGTTTGTCGGGGGCGCGCGAGCGCAACGCAGCTGAGCCCTCCTGCGGAAGCCTTGTTCTAACAATGGCGATAGGCAAGTGATCGGTTCGGGAGGAAAACAGCCAGTGGTGGCAATGCCGCAGGTCGCGACCGCTGACTACGACCCGACAGATTGCAGTGTTAGATATCAAATGTATGTTCCCCGCTTAAAGGCCATGTTCGCGATCGAGTACGAAGTGGAAAATATGGCCGTAGGTTAGAGTGGTCCGCCGAGCCGTAACAACTTGTTCTAGTACCGATTTCGCGGACGGCCAAAAAATTCTATGGAAGGCCGGCGCTGCCTAGCCCACTATAGGGTGTTGCAGGTGGCTCCTGCCTTTTGTTCCACTGGACACATCAGCCTCCAGGACTCTGACCTAATGAGCGATCTTCAGTTAGAACATTCGTTTGCAGCAATCGAAAAAGGCGTGATAGATCGCCGCTGTAACGATCGTAGAAATCTTATAGGTAATCAGCCGGTGCAGTTGAGGGGCGGTAGCGTTTGGTAGGATAGAGATTGACTGGCACGTGCGAAATTGGGATCGAAATGGGGGTTCTATCTAGGGCAGGTAGCACGTTTTTTGTGCTTTTTTTCGTTCACAGTCGAGTTAAACAACCCCTTGTCGTCTATATGGAGCCCCCTAATCCACCATCTGAGGTGGCAAGTAATCGCGGATTCCTCTTTTAAGTAGAAAATCCATTCAAAAGAAAAATACCAAACATTCTCACAAAACAGCGACGTGTCCCTGCCAACGACAGACAAAATTCCTTGCAGTTCTGTAAGATCGGCTCATAGTACTTTCTGACACATCAGATCGACTGAGTTTTCGAGATTGCGTCAAGCTTGTCAGTTTCTTAACAGTACTTATCAGCCGCTACAGTTTCTCTTTATTCATAAGTCTGCAGTGGATCAGGCCAACTGTAGATCACCAATCCACCACCGCAACCATGTTTCTATGCAGCTTGGAGAGATCGGTGTGTTTTCTCGGTCCTTGGTCAGGTCGCCGCTGTCTGTCGTTCATAATCCATTCTTCGTCAACGTTGAGATGTGACCTAGAAGTGGGTCATTCTATTGTCCGAGAGCAGGGTGAAGCAGTTTTTTGAATGACAATCCTTCCCGTCATAAATGAATGCGTGCAGTTCCTATAAATCAGGCCCCTGGATTTTCCGATCTACTCCATGTAGCCACAAACAATGCTGCTTCCAAACATTCGATGTCGAGTTAATGTCTTTCACGCGCTGCACACAAGCGGATTCCTTTGACTAAATGCTCTATGTTTCTTGTGAACAATTAGTTACCGTACACTGCGCGCTCATCTATAAGGCTCTCATCTCCTGTACAGTTGGCAAGAGCAAACAATCGTTCATTCACGCTACGACCCACGTGAGTGCAAGAATACACCTCTAGAAAATTTGTGAAGTGATCACGCTTTGCAGTCCGTATTTTAATGCCGTGCGATTACGCTCCGTGCAATTTTTTAGTATTCCAACCTAGACGGACTTTCGTTCGCACTACTTTGACCGCTACGAACTTGGAACAGGGCGGCTTCAATTATGTTTACACGTGCTAACAGTCCGATTTGAAAAAAAAGATCGGTAGGCGTATCCGCTGTGACAATAACTAGTTTAAGCAATATAGTTCCTGGTGATCTTGAGCCTCCGAATTTGAGTCCTGTCAATGTGCCCAAAATAATTGTCACAATGAAATTTTTTTGACTATTTCGGGATGTAGTCCAACCACCGTGCAATTCAATTTGCGAGCAAGAATGATAAAGCAATTTTTTGACCGTAAGATCGTCTCTGATACTAGCCGATGGTGCTGGTCACAATCTCGGCACTTATTTTTGACACCGACGCAATCAGGTGCTGTGTTAGCGCTCAACAGCCTCTATGTGGGTGTATTAGGTTCGTCCGGAAAGTTCTCAGCTTTTGTGCACCTATTTTTTGTACATTCACTGCTGATTAAAAACTCATTCTGCCTTGCTTCTCAGTAGCACATCCTGTAGAGAATTTCTTGCGCTATCTGATGGTATAATTGCCGTTTCACCATTGCTTGATAAACCCCCTTTTTTCAAGATTTTTTCAAGCATGTGAAAAGAGCACTTCGGACGATTTTTTTCTTTCGACTATTAAGGGCAGTCCCATCGAGTCAACAAATTAACCAGGTGTGAGGCCCAATAGTGCTAGAGAAAGCACTGTGCGGCAATGGCTCAACAAATTTCGTTCTGGAGATTTCAGCCTTGAAGGTGAACCTCATAGCGGTCGACCTAAATAAAAGCATATGACGAGGATTTTAGGGGGATTTTGGAGGCTGACCCATCCCAAACAGTTCGAGAGATAGCAGAAGAGCTAGGCCTTGGCAAATCCACTGTTGCAGATGGTCTGGAACGCATTGGGAAGGTGAAAAAACTCGACAATTGGGTGCCCCACAATCGGAGTGACCGGCAGGAATCGGCACGTCTCGAGGTTCCTTCTGCATTGCTTTTGCGCAGCAGAAACGACCTGTTTTTGGCCGAATTGTCACCTGTGATGAAAAATGGGTCATGTATGATAACAGGAGACGTTCCGGACAGTGGTTGGATTTCGACGAACCACCGAGGTAATTTTCAAAGCCGAACCCTCACGAAAAAAGATTCTGGTCACGGCTTGGTGGTCATCGGCTGGTGTGATCCACTATAACTTTTTATCACCAGGCCAAACCATCACAGCAGAACCCTACTGTGAAGAAATCGACGAATTGTACCGAAAATTTTGTCAGATGCAGCCAACACTTATCAAAAGAAAGGGTCCGATTCTTTGCATGACAACGCCCGCCCACACGTTTCACAAATCACTATCCATAAATTGAACGAATTGGGGGTTGAAGTTCTACCTCACCCGCCATATTCTCCAGACCTTTCACCAACCGACTATCACCTTTTCAAACATTTTCAGAACTTCCTTGCTGGAAAATACTTCATCAATCAGGACCAGGCAAAAAAGACCTTCGTAGATTTCGTGGATTCTCGACCACCCAGTTTTTTCTTTGATGGGATTTCTCGACTGCTGTCACATTGGCAAAAGTGTGCTGATTCGAATGGTGCCTATTTCGATTAAATCCGATGAGTATTAAAAAAGTTACGATCGTTTAAAGTGAAACACCCAAAACGCTGAGAACTTTCCGGACAACCTAATACATAACGCATACGGTGAGAGAATGATGAGCTCGAAATTTCCAGTGAGTAGCACCATGGTGAGAAGTAAGTTAATATTGGTGCTAGGGGCACTGATGGCTTCCAAAATTCGAATCTGAATGTGAACATAAGTGGCATTTATCCCTGTCATACTGACGCACAGACAGATATGCATGGAAAAGTGGTGAAACCTGAGAAAATACAAAAAATCGCGCCCACCATGTACTGAACCTCACAGGGTCAGTGAGTACCTCAACGTCAGGCTGAACATTGATTGAACTACTGATTCTTTACAATTTTATTTGAGCGCGCACTACAGTGCATTGACCTGCAAGGTGATTATCTCTAGGTCAGGTT